TTATAAATGTTTAACAGAAAAAATTTAAAAGAAAATGATATAAGGAATAAAGATATTGTTTTTAAGGAAATATTAAATAATAATTATTTTGTAAATCAACAAAGTAAATGTTTTTAATGATATTTTTATTTAATTAAAAACATTACAATATTTATAATGAGAGGGTAACAATAATATAAAACACTATAAAAAATTTAGTTTTTTGGAATTCTATTTTTAAAAGAATATCTATTCACATAAGTCAAGATTTTTATAATTAGAAATAAAAGAACTTAATAATAAAATAGAAAAAAAATTAAAAAGAAACGAAATTAAATAGAAAAACTAAGATTTAAACGAAAAAAATAGCTTTGAATCAAATTTTTAAATTTTAATAAGTTGTAAAACTGCATATAATAATCAAAGTTTGCTATTATATAAAAAGCAAAATTCTTTTAAAAATGTTTCTCTTAGTTCCTTTTAATCCCTCTTCTTTTTTTAATTTCTAATTTTAATTCATTATTGAAGGATTCTACAGTATGCGTATTAACACCAATTTCAGAGTTAAAAAATTCATATTTGTGGCAGATTGTTTTGTGTCTAAAACCTAAATTAATTAAAGTAATATAACTTTTGAACTCATCAGTCCAAATAACGAAATTTTCTGCAATCTGTGAAATTATAATAGGTAAAATGGTACTTTCATTTTTATAGGGCAAAAAAGTAGCAAAGGCGTGATTACGAAAGCTATTAATTTCAATTGTGCACAAGGCATCAGTTTTGTTTGAGAACGCTCTTCCTCAATGGCTTTTAATCTTAAAGTTCAGCATCGTCTCGTCAATCTGAACTATATTTAAAGGCCGCTTAATTTATTGGCAGGAAAGTCTGTCGCCGGCATTAAATTTATTAATATATTCAGTATTTTTACTACTAAACCATCAGAAACATTAACAGAAGATTTAATACTGTATCTTGGCTGCCTTGATACATATTTAACCAGTATTTTCAAGATATCTCTTATGTTACAGCCGAATCCTTCAAAAAATGATCCCTTTATTATACTTAGTATACTTTGTATCTTTTACAGGGCATATTTAAACAACTCCAATTATAATCATCTGGTGACTTTTTATACTTTCTAAAAGCGCGCAGAATTTTACAATATGTGCAAGACAATTCTTTTTTCAATAGTTTATAGTTCATCAAAAAATGTATTAAATCAAGGTTTTTTAAACAGATCATATTTTTTTCTAGATTTGCAAATTCTTTTGTCATTTTATGTATCATTATTTTTAATTTTTTTTGTTTGGAAACTTTCAGTCATGATCTCAATACTTTGAGGCCTCGAATCTCGTTTTGAAATGGTACGATGTCAAAAAAGGTTTTGAAATTGGGGAAAAAGAAAATAAATCGATTTTGTCGAGATATCTTTTAATAGACGTGTGACTTAAAAGAATTTCTTGTTCTTTTTTAAGTGCCTCTTCAATTTTCCTTAAAGATATTCTAGAATTTGATTTTTTCCAATAAAGCTTTGGACAATTTTTCAGAAAGGTAAGAAGGACGTCCATTTACTTTCCTAGGTTCTAATGAACCAAATATTTCATACTTCTTTAATGAATAAGCTATTGCACTTCTTAGAAGATTGATTTGAACCTCAATTTCTCTTATTGTATTTTCGGATCACATTTTTTTATCTGCCTGAATAAATAAAAAAAGCAAACATAATTAAAAAAATATACACAAAAAATAAATTAAATAGTAAAAAAAATTAATAGCTTACTTTTACTAATTCCAAGATTTTTTCAAATC